ATATACACAGAACCTATAAATATATAAATATAGACAGAAATGTATATATTGATCAGAATATTTAGCAAAGCATTCCCATTACAGACACTAACAGGGTACTAGCAAACAGACCTGTCGTTGATTTGAAAACACTATTCCAGACAGGGCTTAAGATTTCATGATGTTGGTTTTTCGCATTGAAAATTGGTGCACATCAAAATTTCAATGTTTATTAATGTTGCGTTTTTATCGCGATTATCTTAATGAAAATATATATTAACAGTCATCGGTCGAATTAGCATAAAGGATTAATCCTCGCAAAGCGAATCGTCTTCTCAGCCATCATAATGAATCTCCAGCGGAAGTTAAATGAACTATAAAGAGGTGCTCTTTTGAAACTTAATAGAACAATAAGCGAATTGAACTTAAATGTTAGTAATCAAAATTCGAATTAAATACATATTAATCACAAAAAATTACAGATGATTGCGATTATTTTTTGTTATTATTCAAAATAATGTGATAAATGCCATTGCAACAAATGATTACTGAATCAGTTTCCAGAATGCAAGCACCATAGAGGCTAGGTACAGACGCCTCTGGTATCCATGTTAACGAAGGAAGCTTCAAACCGGCAGACAGGCTGGAATTCCATCATCTAGTATGCATATTCCAGTATACGTATTAACCTGGCGTTCATTGGTATTGTTGGTATATTAGATTTGAGAATCCCGTTGTTTATTTCCCGGGAATGGTAATGTAAATTACGGAAAGACGCGCTTAAACTAACATTATAAAAATCAATTTTAACCTCGTTTTGATGTCTGAAAAATGTAGAGTTCTTATTTTTTACCGCAATTTAAACCAATTGTGTTAAATTTGAAATTATAACAAAATCTTTCATTTCGATCCCCCAAATTAATCAGCTATACTTCCTAATTCCAAAACAATAAATTGCATTCTGTGTCCAACACAGAAACGCTAGAAGTTAAATAGCTCGATTAACTACAACATATACAAAATGCTAAATTTGTAGCATACCTTCAAACAAATATTCGGATATATAATTAATTGAACGTTTGCAAGTGGATCTGTTTCTATTTTTGTATCCATGAATACTGACACTGTAAATTAATACCGGTCCCTCGATCCCGTAATGGTTGGATCTCAAATCATTGCATTTATACTGTATCATAAATGTAATATGGGCTAAAATTATTTCTCAAATGATGCTAAAACTTTCTGCAAATTTCAAATTGCAGTTAAATTTGGGTTTCAATCAATTATGGCTCAAAAGAATCATTTTTGTTCATTACGGATCATTCCTTATTTTGTTGTATTTTCTTGTAAATAAATATTTTGTACCAACGTTTTCTGAAAATTTAGTGGCCTTTTCTACTATCTTCTCGGATAGCCAATATATGTTGAAAGCTTCCACTCAACAACGCAAGTATTTCGAGTCATAAATCCATCTTTAATCCGCGCCCCTGCAGTTATCAGTATAGGTTTCCACAGGAACGCTAGTTTCACCCTTCTCAACTTTTCCGCGTTGTGTGCACAATCCGATAACTTTAACTTCAACCGAGCACTAATGACTAGCGTATATTTATTGAGAGCAAAGAACACTAAAAATAAAAAATCTTATACAATTTCCGAGAGGGAAATTAATTTTATCCAGAAATTTATTTTCTTATATATCTTCGTGAATGCTTAGCAATTGCAAATAATTGTACATTGCTTCTAGAACTCGGTTTTATTCAGGTAAAAAATATACTGAAAAAGTAAGAACCAGCCCACGACTACGTAAACAAAGTGACCAAAATTTACAGGAAATCGGAGTTGTTGCTTTATGTAAGAAAGTCTGACAGACTGTAAATTTTATTTATGCTGAACATTGAGATTTTCAGGATGAACTGCAGTTAAATTTTCAGTGAGTAGAGTTCTGAGATCAGCAACAGCGTCGTTTGTTGACTAAATATTTTTACCACTCAAACATTATTAACCTTCGATAGTACGAACACTCAACTTTTGTTTTATGGAATTGTAGGGAGTACTTATTTGTTTTTTAATTTTTCCATTTTCCAAACATGAGGGAAATTTGGGCTGTCGTACGAATGCGCGTTTTCAAGCCCAATGTTTTTATATTACCATCTCCTGCATTGAATTTGCATCATTTAAAATGAAAAATTGAGCGGAAACACTATAGCCATCATATCCTTTATCACAAACTTTGATCTAATCTTTATGTTCACCACAATCATTACAGCGTTACTGCGCAACACCGTTCAATTTTAATAATTGGATTCAACTGAAGAATTTTTCTTCAAGCAAAACAAAGTTCCAGGTTGTTTTTTCGTTGATGCTTGTGCACTTCATGAGCAAATCCTGTAACGATTGAGTCTTCCTGCTCATAATAAAAATTACGACTCAGACCTCGCAGGGTTTGCGGGATTGCGGTATTAGCTCATGCTAAAAGTGTAGATGCTTGCTATTCTAGACTGTGATGATCCGATGCAGTGCAGTTCGTTAAGATTGATGGCCTCTTTGCCATTCATTTGCCAGCTCCATGGAGCCGAACAGGGAAATTTTTTTCGCATTCACATAAATATGATGCTTTTTGGAGCGATCGAGACAGCAGATTCGTTGAGTCGGGAAAATTTTTTGAAACAGTAAAGCCTATGAGTAAGTTGATATATTTTTTAATAATCCTGATGCGATTGAACTGAAACCAAAACAAATGCTAAACGATTGGCTGAATGATTGAGCAAGATTCATTTCCTGTAAGAAATGTTTTTTATGTTCGAACAAACCAAAAATTCCATCTAAAATGCAATTTTTAATGTCTTCCAGACTTCGCTGCCTTAATTTCAGGTCGCCACCTTTCCACTGCATAAAAAAGCAAATGATTCTTCACTCTTCAGTTCAAAGTAAGGTAAATCTCTCCAAACAGCCACCAAAACTTTGTTTCCCACTTGTAAATGACACTCATTGCAGACTAGAGGAAGGTGCTAAAATTAATAGAAATGTTATTTATTTCTAAGCACCCGTTTGCGATTTTACTATGAGTTTACCATTAACTGGCATCGCTAGCGCTTCTGTTCTGTAGGTAAATTTTGAGGAAATCATCTTCGCAAACCGAAACTGCATTCTGTATTATAAGAAATGATAGTTTTTCTACTTCATTTTTTTAACACTTTGCTATAAAATTCTCATTACCAACGAAGAATTTAACTGCTTGTGATTATTTGTAGGAAAAATATAATTTGACATTTCGAAGCGTTAGTTTGGGAAGTAAAAGAAAACGATACTCGAAACACTATATTACATAATATAAATATCTCATAGCCACTGACACAATTATTTACAATGTCAAACTCTCGAAATATATGAACCAACAACATTATATCAAGCATGGTTTTATATGGCATGGCGATTTAGAAACATTTCGAAACATTGATAAAATATGTACAATTTTTCAGCATTCGATACATTTTATTTCGCTATCGAAGATACAACTTTGAGGAAGAACTGCAGCAAATTTGTGCCGTAATATTTCGTTCATTAATAATTAAATGTAAATATATCTTCCAGAGCTTTTTCTTTGTGATGCACCGTTTCATGTATCTCAGAATCGATAAAAGTTTATTTGCAAATTCTATTTATTTATTATATTTTGGGCTGATTTTCAAAAAGGAGTAAACCAATTTTTGAAAATAATATTGAAAATTAGCTCGCATTGTAGTGACAGCAGAGTTCTCACGGAACTCCACTTGATTGGGATTGGGTTAATTTTATAAATTTCTTTTTTTTTAACACGAAGATCGCATAGCGGAACTCTCCATCATTCATCACTGTTAAAATAAATAGAGATTAATTCTATGTTAGAATCAATATCACGCAATCATTTTATTATTTATTTTTTGTTCAGCAATTAGTTGTCAAGCAATAACCAAGAAAGCAAACAGTGTCATTTACTTCTATAAAACAGAGCGTCGGTAAAACGGCAGAGTATCACATTGATTGATTCTTCATATGGTGTGAGAAAAACCAAGAATTAATAACGATAAAAAAATTATTTGCAAATCCATGTCCACTTTTAGTTTCTATCGTTTGTTCTCATGCACTCTCTCTCTCTCTCTTTCTGTAGAGGCTGGCGACGATGTAACAGGTGCTGTAAGTTAACAACCGTGCAGTCTATCGTGAAAGCTTTTTATCATATTGACTTTTTTATAAATCAATGCAATCCCAATCATGATTGAATGCCAGGAGGGCACACAAGTAAATGATATTATGGTTAGACAGATGAAATGTTTTTTTTATGAGAGTCGGAAGTACTTTTTGAAGAATGTACGTAATTATAGTACAATTTAAGCATACTCTACGTTCAGCTATGATTGTCGGAATCGAGATAACTATCATCGTCATCCATATTTATTGTAATTTAAAGATTAACACTCACTCGCTTTCATGCCTTCCAGAATAAATTTAAATTACCGTGATGCAGTTTTCAGTTATATTAGGACTGACAATAAGAGAGAAAGGCAACAAAAATACACCAACAATGACTTTAACAACAACATTTCAAGAGAGACAGATCAAAACACGACGAGACGAAGAAATGCGTCAATGAAGGTGAATGTTGTATGTACATTGTACAATTGTACACAGATGGAGGCGTCGCTTTTTAAACAGCGCACAACAGTTAACATGTATTGTTCATTAATCGGGAATCTAATTTTGAGCAAATCACAAATAAATTCAACACACATCTTCTCTTCCACTCAAACTTCATATATCAAAGATCCTTAATAATACTTCTATGTGGTGTTACTACCATGAGTAGACCAAGAGTGTAGTCCATTGAATCAAATTCACGGCTTGCTACGATGTATTAGTTAAAACGCTTACCCTACATGTCATTGTTTATGTTAAACAAAATTAAAAATTTAGTGCAATTATTATATGTAATAAAAAAGAATAAAACTAAAATTACAAAAATACAAAATAAGTTCGCTGATTAAATCAAGTAAAAATGAGAAGCGAGACTAAGGTCCATGAGGCGATGACAGCAGAATGCAGGAGGTGGCCACGCTGGTCGCCAGCACGAAACACAGCAGCAAGGCTCGGTCCAGCACCATCGAGACCTGAGCACCCGAGGCAACGTTGCGAGCTTTGAGCCATAACTATCTTAAAGTTCAAGCCTTAACAACGCGTTTTTTACATGATATAAAGGTTCATTCTAGGTAATAATGTGATAAAAATTATACGATGAGATTGTATCAGAATATTTCATTCTACTGAAATATAACTATCTTAAAATTCAAGCCTTAACAACGCGTTTTTTACATGACAAAGAGGTTTATTCAAGGTGATAATGTGCTAAAAATTGTATGATGTGATTGTTTCAAAATATTTAATTTTCCTAAGAGTGGTAAATTCTCATCAAGCTTCTGCAACGGATAATTTATTTATGATGAGCCTGAGCTTTATTTATGAGCCTGAAATGTTGAAAATAGGATTTAATTCATATAAATATGGGAATATTAACCAAAAACTGTTGCATCGACGAAATCATGTTCCCGAAAACACTAATTAAGATTGATTTTAATTCAAACAGAATCGAATGCGCGGCTTCCATTGCCAACATGTAAATAATTTTCATCAATTAAACTATTTGTAGGTAGCTAAGAGAAGATTCCTGGGAATGCCGTATCGTGCCACAATATTGTAGCATGGATTCTGAAACACCATCTGTCCCAAGTCGCAAAAATTTCACTTAATTTAGAAACAATTCTATTGTTGAAACAATACTCGAATTTTATCACGGCAATAGACAAAATAATACCTTTTAGGCAAAACCTGAATCATAGGGCTTCAAACATTTTATTTTCTTAGTTTCATTATTATTTACAGATCAAAGATCAATGTCATATGATTTTAGTTCAAGAGGTTCGGATTTAGATTAAAAATTTATGTCCAAACTATAATTTGATCGGAATTCAGCAATATCCCTTCTGATTCTTCCTAGGGAAACATTCAAGTCAATTTCAATTCTTGAGAGACACCACATACAATTCCGTTCATAGCTCTGATAATCTGTTCGCTGTTGCTGTTGGCTTTAATGCTAACTCGGCAAACTTTAGCTTTTAAATTTCAATGATTCAAATAATTTTGATTGAAAAAAATTTCAGATTGTAATAATACGCCTTAAAGGCTACCGATTTTGTTGAAAGTTGGGCGTGTTGTTGAGTAATAACATAATTAAAACTAAGAATTAAAATCATATTAAATTTTAAGATCAGAACAAAATTTATAGATCATTTTCAAGTTCCTAATCCAAAATAAAATTAAAATTAATTATTGGAATAGAACTCACCCTCTGCCACTCGTCTTTGATGGCCTCCCTTCGGTCTTGGTCGGAGAGCCTCGTCTCGTTCTTGTCGATCGTTTGCTGAACCTTCCTGAGCACCCGCAAAAACTGCTGCTCGAACTCTAATGAACCCAGAAGAGCCAAGAACCGCGATAAAAAATAATCTTTGATTGTTATCTAAGGACAGAATCTTCCATTTGACGAATGATTAGTAAAATTTATAGCAAATAAATTGAACGAGAACCCACTACGTAAATGGTATAGACAGATAAAAACTTTAAATTTATTTCTAAAAATATACTAGTGGAAATTAACAACGAGTGGCAATTTGTATTTCTCAATTATAGATCCTAGATTTATGAATAAATGGAAGACTTCAGTAATATATTTTTCACAGGTATCGCCACGTATTACCCGTCATTTCAGCGGAGGTGCCCATGATCGGGGAGGTGGGGCCGGTGGAGTGAGCGTGGATGAGGTCATTGCTGGAGTGGTTTAGTCTGTGGCGCGGCGAGAAATGTGGCGACACGCTGAAAGGGTCAAAGTGGCTGAACCGCTCCATGTGCTCCATGGGGTCGAGATCGTGCATCTGGAACTTCTCCGTGTCCCGTGAACCACCACTCCGGAGTTTCTGGGTATGGAAAATTTTTTGCAGATGAGTAATTCAAGATTGTTGAGCTCGGGAATAAGCAAGAAAATGACTTCCATATCGTAGATTCGAGTCAGTGCTTGAAGATACTTTAGTACCCGTTTGAAAATACAATTGTTATTTATTAATATAACAATTAATCACTAGAAGACATCGTTGCGAGTTTGTATAAATTTATAAAACGAAAAGTTTAAGTATATAATAAAGTTCAACACTGAGCAAAAAAAGGCATGAGAACAAATTAAAATTTTAGAAATTTAGAATAAAAAAACTTTTTATCAACAGCCATTGTTTCATCAGGCATGGAGTACATTGTTCGCCATGCAGAGTTAAGACTATTTCAAATTCATTAACAATGCGGAAAATTTTAGAATCACATAAACTAGTTTCTTAAGCTGTTGAATTCATTTGACCCATTTACATAATTGAAAGAACTCTCAATGATAACAAATAAATTTAATTTAATAACACAAAGCAAATAACCGGGATCAGCAGAAAAAGATCTAGCCTCAAACTGGGGTCTCGAATTCATCCTATTTCCCGTAGAGCAGCGCATGTAAATTGCAGTCAAAGCATTCAAGAAAAGACAGCATACAGAGTGCAAGCTCACCGCTTTAGCCTGCGCTTCGGAGTCCTTAAAGTTGAGCAAGACAAACTTGGCCCCCCAACCTAAGATGATTTTGCGGGCGAGAGGCGGCACCTCGACGCCGCGCAGGCCGCGGTGGTGCAGGTTCAAGGTGAGCACGCTTAGCGCCGAGGCGAGCGTCACCAAGCAAATGGTAACTCCGTAGTACAAGCCTGAATAAAATTATATTACAAGCCTATAAAGAACTGCATTACCATGTACGTTTCCTGGTCGTGGCGCTTTGTACTTGGTGGTCATCTTGTATTGCTTTGTTTATTATTAACATTTTTATTTTTATAGTAGCAGGTTTCTTCTTTGGAGTTTTAAGATGCGATTTTTTTCGTTTCACGGTTCGTTTCGTCGGTAAAAACTTTCTTGAAGATAGATGAAACAATTATTTCATTTTTGGTAGTCCCAATTTTCGGTCTTCAACATTTTATAAAGGTTAATTTTCCTGCAGTTTCGAAGTTTTTTGTAGTTTAATGCACGTAATTAGTATATTATTAGGCAATCTAAAAAACTTTTTCGATGCCTTAAAGTTTAAACCTTACCGGCCCTCAAAGTTTAACCGAGTTGCTAACGGTATTCGTCTTTCCCGAAATGAATATTCAGAAGGCAGAAAGGCTCTCTCTCCAGAGTTTGTTCATATTCGTTTTGATTTACAATTAATGACAAAAAAATAACCCCATTCAACTCGCATAACGAAACATCAAACATTAGCGTACATCAAACAGTATCAGTATACAAGTACCATTAGCAGAACTTCCATCAGGTTAATCAACAAGTTATAGCTCATGATAGCAAGTGTTAGCAAAAATAATGCGTCAAAGGCCAACGCTTCCATACTGCACTTCCCTAATTGACGGCAATTAATGTGCGTAACAAAGGTTTGAGTGTAAACAACTTTAAAGTTTAAATTGCTCAGTAGAGCCTGAAACTTGGCTTTGTTAAACTGAAATTATTTGTGAACGCTCGTATTAATGCTGACATGAGACAATAGTTTCATTTAAAATGTTATTCGCGCTTTGTTATTACATGTATTTTGGTGATAATTATGATGTAATTTAATCTAATTTTCTCTTATTATATGCATTTCAAAAAATTTTCTTCGACTTGTTAAAGATACATCTTGATTCAGGAATACCATAGATAACCAGGATCGAGGTTGATTGCTGTTAACATGTCACAGTTATTATATGATACTGAAAATATTAAAAAATTAATCGGCTGCATCCAATGATTCTTCAAAGAGAGAGGAACGATGCCCACAATCGTTTTATGTTGAGACTACCTATAATACTCTAAATACTCTTTGAATAAAAGTACACATGCCTACGAACTACTATCACAGTATTATTTTGATAACCTAGAACTAATAGCTGCGCAAGGCAAAATTTGACTTCCGCAATAAATTGGTCATTCATAAATGGAATTACAGAGCAATCACTGGAGAAGAACTCAAAATATTTTATTTTCAGACTGATGCTTAGGATGGAAGGAAGAAAATTTCAGGCCGAAACGAACTATTACTTTTTACGATATTACAATGAAATTCAGTAGAAGCTGGTTAATAAAACTTATTTCTTAAATTTATGAATATGGCATGAGCGATATCAACATTAGAGTATTATATCGCCTTCAAAAGAGTCTCCCAAGATTAAATGGCTTTGTTCTGAAAGCAATTTAAGCATGATTTTTTGAATTTGATATTAACCGGAAACAACCCTGAGGACGTAATAAGATTCTTGCTATGGTTAATATTTAAGAATAAGAATTAGCAAGTTTTTGTGAGAAACAAGCGTTTCCATGATGGTTTTAATTACCATTCAACCTAACACTTACCACTAATTAGCAAAGTTTTGGAGAGAAACAAGCGTTTCCATAATTATTTTAATTACCATTCAACTTAACACTCACTAATTAGTAAGTTTTTGGGAGAAACAAGCGTTCCCATGATGGTTTTAATTACCATTCAACTTAACAGTCACTAATTAGCAATTTTTTGGGCAGAAACCATCGTTCCCATGATGGTTTTAATTACCATTCAACTTAACACTCACTAATTAGTAAGTTTTTGGGAGAAACAAGCGTTTCCATGATGGTTTTAATTACAATTCAACTTAATTAACACTCACTAATAAGCAAGTTTTTGGGAGAATCAAGCGTTTCCATGATGATTTTAATTACCTGTTAACTTAACACTCACTAATTAGCGGAGTTTTCTCGGTGGGTGGCAGACTCTCCCTGATGGTGATGAGGAAGACAGTCATGCTGAGCAGCGCAGAGATGCCGAGCGTGACTTTCTCACCCGACTCGCTTGGCACGTAAAACACTAACAAGGCTGTAGGTGAGGCAATAAAGGACTTTGTGTTAACTCTGCACTCTATCAAACTATTCCTGTCCTTTACAAACGAGGTTTAAACTAAAACCAACACTCAAAAACATTTACAGCGCTTGTTGGCTCGGACATTCTCTACTCAACTTCATGGATTCTGTTGTCACAGTTATTGCATTTATCACTAACTTTCCAGCACATATTCAAACAATTTTCTCAAGAAAATATGCGTGAATTCAGTCACCAGAAATAATCGAAATGACGAGGAACGAAATTTGGCGACGGAATCGGAATGCAATTGACACCAATTCGATACTGTCAGCTTGTGAATGACTTGCTCTGAAATAATTCAATAAACCGTTTGGTCATTGTAGAGGAAGTACGGTACGCCATTAAATTTTCGCCCGATTGCACTGATGGTATATTTGCTTCGTTAAAATTAATAAGCTCGCTCATGATAATTAAGATGTGGCGCGTTATAAAGTAAACATTAAACACGTGACTTTGATCTCTGGAATGCTTTATATTGCAATCGTTCGCAAATAAAATACTAATCGTATATAATAATGCCTCTATCAATGCTGAAATATATTATTGTATTGTATAATTTCATCACCTCTGACTCATTTCATTGAAATTCATACACCAGAAAAATCCAGGACCATATTACTGCCAAAAATCTTACCTATTCCATTAATAAGTAAGCAAGGTAGAATAAGGTTGAAGACGTAGAACATCGGTCTTCTTCTTAATAAGATGGTATAGGTGATATCTGGGTACGGTTCTGGACAGCAGGAATAAATGGCCACCGTCCGTACAGAAGTAAAAGCGTCCAAGTCGAACTCGCCGTTGGGCTTGTAATTCGACATATCCCCTTCCTCCATCTGTTGCGCCAGGTCCAACTGTGGGTGACAGAACCAAGAATTGTGAGGGGAGAGATAGTGTCTTGTTTATTTGATATATAAATTCATGACGCGCTACTATACATTGCGAAAGAAAATAATTATTTTGTTACTGACATTAGGTTAGGTGAAAACTTACTCCATCAGAAAAAAATTATAGGTGTAATGGACACAAAATGTTCGATCATAATTGAAGAGAAAAGTTATTTTTGTTCGGAAGAAATTAGGTTGAGCTAGAACCTAAAGTAATAATTATAAACAATGAGAAATCTGGAAACTTTTTTCTCCGTATTTCCATAAACAATAATTTCTGCTGCATTTGCCAGGCCTCGCACTAATTATAGATCCTGATTGCAAATCCATTTTATTGCACCCTAGAAGTAGACAAAACTTTTTCCCCTGACAACGTGTAGTCTGAAAGTGTTTGAGGTTACGTTTATGTAGGGAGGGATCATGGTGGTCCATTCGAAGCACGGCAGTGGTGGTCTCCGAGAGGCATACTGTTTTCCTCTATGCATTTTCTTTTACGTTATGATAATGGAAGCAATTCTAGCGAGAAAATACAAAAATGGCCACAGTTTTCCGTTCTTGTTACATTGGAACCCCAGGGCTAAACTCAGCCCGCAGCGCGTCTCGCGAAATAAACACAACAGGGAGTCGGTGTGTGCAACCGATGAATGCTTCCAGCACCTCTGACGCAATTTAATCAATATATTATACATTGATGCGATATCGGCATTAGGATTGATACCCAGTCTTAAGATCAATCTTAGGAGACTTTGCCCGTTGGAACAATGGTAAGAGGAAGGTTTATATGAGCAAATTTGGCCTTTGTCGCGGTATTCTAATAAAAAAATAGATCAGTACTCACTGCAGTGAGTGACAGAGAGCGCATTTTTTCGTGAAGTAACGAACGGATGGAAAGACATGACGAGCACAATAGCGCATTTTTTTCCATAAATGAAAAAATGCGCTAAAAAGTTCCATATTAAGAAAGAATTCATGCTAACCATCGTAAAACACCTTATTGCTTCTGCTTCAAACGTTATCGGAAAGTACCACAGTTCATTACCGCAGTTCAATGTACCAGCATTCAATGGTTTGAATACTTGGTAGCCGTCGTATATTCCGAACCTGCCCGATTTCATTTTATAGCTCTGAATATCAAAGGGGAAATACTATAAATTCAGTGGTTTTAATACCTGGTAACTGTCATATGTCCAACTTGACCATTTCATTTTGCAGCTCTGAATATCAAAGGTTAAATACTATGAATTCAGTGATTGGAATACCTGGTAACTGTCATACGTCAAACTTGACCATTTCATTTTGCAGCTCTGAATATCATAGGATAAATACTATGAATTCAGTGATTGGAATACCTGGTAACCGTCGTATGTCCAACTTGACCATTTCATCTTGCAGCTCTGGACGTCGAAGGGGAAATACTCGACATTCATCTCGCAAGATGACCTGTAGATGCCGTGCGACAGCCACGTCACCTCGCCGTTGGATTTCACTATGACGTTTGTATTGATGGTCGATGCACTATATTGGGCGTCGGCACTGCAACGTGCAATATGAATATAGTTCTTGTTAGTATATTCATGGGTAATTGAAGCGTTCTATTGACCGATCGGGAAGCATGTCTTTGTATTGACAAACTCGACGATTGTTGACAAAAGTTGCCTATTGAAAAAATATTTTAATATACTGCTAAGGATTCGAGTGGAGAACGGGGTGGATGTCATTAATATAAATTATATTGCAACAAGAATTATCAATGTATACAATTTTGCAATGAAGACAAATCGAATAGTTGGTGAGAACTAACTATGTGACTAGGAAATCCTCACCAACTATAGTCACTAGCTAATTAATTTGTGAGGACTGATGGCATTCTTTATTGATATTATTGAAAATAATAAATTCTAAATTATATACTGACTTGTTGTAGAGAATAATGTCAGGCTTCCAGACTTTGTCGTATGGGACTCTGATGACAGAAATGCCACCGAAATCCGACGCGTTCCAAATGAGGTGAGCGTCGATCCAGACTTGCGTGAGCCAGCAGTTCGTAGTGAGAATTTGGTTCTTCTCGTCCTGACAGAACAAGAAGGAAATCTTCTATACACTGAAAATGAATGAAATGAAGCTAAAGTAGACCTAATCCTAAACCTAACCTAAAGCTGATTTAGAGACCTAATCGAAAAAATCAGCGTTTTAATCGGAATTTCTTGATACTGATATTTCGTCTAGAAAAAAAACATATTCATACAAAATAGTGAAGAAATGTTAAAGAAGCCCTTTTAGGAACTAACTGGCATAAATTTTACAAAAAAAAATAAATAAATATATTTTCACTGATGCTATCCATTTTATTGTACGATAAGTGCACTCACACTGCTCTGCTTTCTTTTGATTGGCAATCCAATAAATGTTTTTTAATGAACGTTTCCACAAAGATGAAACATTCAAACATAATTTTTGAAACAATATTACGAAATTTATTAAAATAAAAATTGCTCTGTTTTATTTGTATTTGACGATGATTAAAACAATCTGAAATAATTTGTATTTCGAATTCAGGTTAAACCGCTGTTTCCATTTATTTCGGCGAAGATTCCTGTCATTCGAATTAAATTATACACAAAGTGGTGCTTTCGAATCAATTTGTGGTACATATGATATGCAAGCATTTCATGTGCATACCTGCACATAAAATATACAAAAATAATAGCTAAATTCGCATATAATGACAAAATATTACTTCCATGTTTAGTTATGTGTTTTGGAAGAACTGGTACCCATTCCTGAAAAGTTCAAATAACAAAATCATTCACGCATGTAAAGAATATATAGGAAATTCCTCGTTAAATATCCTAAAAGTCTGACAAAATTAGATGAAACTAGAAAAGCTACGTTTACATACTGCCCAAATTAAACTAAGTCATCCACTGATCTCTCTTCAATCTAACAGCCATTGAATTGCGCGACTCGGGAGCGCATCCGCAAATTGCTCACGAATCTCGAAGAGAATCTCGGCGGCTCACAATGCCGACTGAAACGACACTCGAGAATGTTCCAAATCTCACCCAGCAATTACGAGGACGTAGGCTCTGTGTTCAAAGAGAGAGCAGTTTTAAACAAGAGTATCAACTCAGACTTGCCTTCTACTTGATCACAAAAATGGGCTTGTCTTCGAAGCGAACTCTCTATTGTAAAGCAGAAATTGCTGAAGGTCTGCGGAGGCAGCGACGCGGAAGTCTGCTCGGTTTTAAGAGTTACAAGACTCACATAGCTCGCAGGAACGGGGTTTTTGCTATCAATATTTAATTTTGTTTCGAATGGTCTATTATTTTTGATCCGATATAATGAGCTAAAGGCTTCTAAATTACACATGTTGACTTTTGCGTTACTCCGCAAAAAAGACAGGAAATAAAGGCGATATTTTCTAAGTACAGTTAGATTATGTTGGTAAAAAGATCATTAACAATTTACATAAAAATCCTTTTTCTATTCCTTTCCAGGCAAGCCTAATGTTCTTGAAATTTGATTTTTTCAACCTGTATTATAGTTCATTATTTCTGATAGATTTTCATCATATGACAATCATCATATGACGATTACATCCTTTGAGTTCAACTAGACACTGGAAAAACTTGAAAATGCTAATTGGAGAAGCCGCATTCATTTCTTCAGTCATTGCAGTCATTAACCGACAAGTCGAGACTGTAAATCATTTAATGATGTTATATCGCGAGTGCCTCATCAGTTATTCTGGAGCTTGCAGTTGGTGGCACAATTTGGGCGCAGGTGAAGTGTCCAGCATTTAGGAAAACTCCGGACTCGTGGGCAAGAAAATTTGCTGGTACTGAGCGACCAGTTCTGTCGTAAATATTCCTTCGATCGGGAAGTTTGTCTCCGAGCTTCTTCAAGAGGAATAGAAAGGCTCTATTTTCACGGAAGCGGCATTGAAGAACGTCCAATTTTCTTAGGAACGACGAAGTTGAACGAGTTGTATATGAGTGGATCTTTTTAACATGCGTAATCGCTGTCGATTCTTCTAAAAAATGTACTTAAAAAAATGTGATGATCTGAAGGTTCTAACTATACTTGATTATCATCCTCTAAGGATATTCTTTATTAGTATATTTGGGAGTAAACAAAATTGTAAGACAGATAGAAACAGAACAGGAACAAAATTTAATAATTTAGTTTATGTAATAAAAAATTATCAAGTTGCACTCATGAGAAATGCAGACTTCTCGTCAACGTGGGTTAATAATAAATGATGAAAATGGTATCTGATCGGACGTAGCGATGCTGAATTTGAATTTAACTTTAATTTTAAAAACCGCATTAGGATGATTTGATGGAAAATGAAATTTCAATTATCCGTATGAATATAAATTGAAAGTATGTATTTAATTTTTTCTGGCAGAGTACTTGTTGGACTTCTTTCAATTAATTTCCAATCATTTTATCCAATAGTTCATTTTGCCAGTGAGCTAATAACGCTTCTTGTGGTAAATAACATGTTAAATGTAAATATAAACATGTTAGATGTAAATAACATGTTAATAGCTGATCGAATATATTTGATTAGTTCTATGATTTCCTACAAATGAAGATAACAAGACTCGGCTCTCGTCTTAGGAAAGCGAACGAGACTAATTTATATTCCACAATACCAGATTGAGATTGTGTGTTCATTAGTCTAAGATGTTTTCAAGTTTGCAAGGTTTAGATATATAAAATAATAATTTCATTTACTGTTAACCAGTACGTAACTAAATCGTAACATATAACTACCACCAAACTCGAATTACCAATTCTTATCTTATTGTATGCATACATTTACAGAGAATAAAATTACTGGCTTGTCATAGATGCTCATAAATATAAACCCAAAAAACTGAAAAAAAAATTCACAAAAAAAAACTTCGACAAGATTTTTTTAGAAAGAAAGTTCTTTCTAAATTTTACAGGATTAAAAAATGTCATGACCCCGAAAAATGTACGCAATTAAAATAATGAGCAAAACTTCAAACAGCCATATTGTTTGCTTTCTGCTGTCTTAGGGACAGATGAACCATCAAAGCCTGGCACGAAACGGGACCACATCCCGGCTGTGCTGCTACCGCACCATGTGATGTACCGACGCACAGTGACGCATTATCTAGCCAAATGAAAAAACTAATCGTACGATTTTCAAATTTCGAATTATTGGTGTTTCAAGACAATTTAAATAGCTGTCCGGAAATTTCGAAAGTTGCGATTTTAGGCGCATTCAACATGTTCACGTCTCGTTAAATAAATTTAAACTGGATGCCACATGAATCAGACATGAAACTTGAAGTAAGATGGTATGGAACGTCGCAAGTAAATGATTTGTATAAGAACACATAAACCGTCCAACAGTGAACCATTAAATTCTGCAATCAGACCAACAGCTAATGATATGAAGCTAAAATTCTAAGTTGGCCTTAAGACGCATTTTTATTTAGTACGAATACGAAAGCTTAATTATTATAAACGGGTTTCGAGAAATCAGGAATAACAGATTTCGGTTAATGGTGTTCTAAATTTGATTCCCGAGTAATCCAGAACAAACTCGCAAATTTCAAACATAATGAATTTTACATTAATCTACAATTAAAATGTAGATGACAGAGCAAAAGTTTGGTCATGGGCTTCAAACACACGATGAAACAAACAAACCTGTAATATTTGTAATTAAATATTTAATTCGTTACTTCTGGTACATTCAGAACGCGAACGCAGCCTAAACTCATTCTGCAACGTTTGCCTCGCAGTTACTGGTTCTGTTCCGGAGCTCAGCTGTCACTAAAGTTACTCTTTACGACTACTCCGAAGAATGCGATCAAGCGTGCCAGAGTGGAGCGAATTTCCCGAGACTCGACAAACTTTCACCTGATTTTATCAGAGGTCCATTCATTCGCGTGAAGGGTGAAACATTTACATATGCTTCGAAAATTTCCTCTTGAGAAGAGTTTAAATTTCTGCTCCATTGTCTGCGAAGGAACGCCAATGTTTTTAAAGCAATGGCTTGGGGCGCTCGAATAACAGAGATCAGATTGAGAAGCCGAGGAAAAGTGCCTCTGTTACGAGTTTAATGCTTTAACTTGGTTACCATGCCTTTCCGAAGGGATTGGAATGGGCAAAAGCTGTTGCTGTAATGCGTGCCACATTATCGATTAAAATCGCAGATCAGAGCAAGAAAATATAAATCTAATACTTAACTCAAGTGGCATTGCTTCTTCTACGTACTACTGCCTAACTATGCAATGATTAAACTTAACAGCAAAGTTCATTCCGCTTACAGATAAGTTTTCTCCTATAAGAAAACTTAATTATACTTAATCTTTATCTAAAAAATGTGTTCCTAGGCGCTCACCACATCAATGATGCTGTGCAGGCTGAGCCCGAAGACAACCGACAGAGGTTCAGAAGAGTTGTGCGCAGGTCTCACCGAGGGGTCGTAGTTCGCCATGAGGTAGCGGGTGAGACGATACTCCAGCTCGTCTGCTCGCGTACCTGTCATGTATAACGAAGAATTTGAGGTGGCAAATACACGCTTAGAGTGAACGCTTAATAAAAGTGTTGTCCTGTAATAAGTTTTGAGAAGCATTGTGTTCAAAAATGGAATATTTTAGAAACAAAACTCTTGGATGAATGAGCGTGTAGCCGAAAGAGTGTCATGTTTCTGCTCGTTAGCTCGATTGTCATGTGGCATAATAATTTAATGCAGAAGCGGAACTAATGAAACTACATTTCTGCTTGCAGGTAGCAGAGAAAATGATAACTTTCTTTCATCACATCATTCTTATACTTTATTTATCTGAAATTAAAAATTTACATAACAATAACCATTTGTTTAACTTGGAACTGCAAAAGATTATAGTTTTGGGAAAGTATTTAAAGAATAAATAACATTTTCTTACCGAATCTTCTATTAAATTCATATAATGGCCTATACAGTGTGTCGCGTTAACCTGACCTATCATCTCTAGAACCTAAATGTATATGCAGAACCTTGTGTGTACGGTAGCAGCAATACTTGTCAGTGAGCATTTAATTTTCATAGGACGTAGACCACGAACGATGCTGCAATATATACGTTGTAAATTCTCCATAACCTAGTATATTATTATCATCTTTTATCCATTGCATCATTCATACAGATAACATACAAGCAGCAGCACTTCTAAGTTAGGTTTGTGATGGTGCAAATTATTCAGTGCTCTCATTTACGAGAAAATTTCTCGCCTTAGGTGCTACTCTGTCATCAAATATTTGTTTTGTCCCATCAAACAAAGAGATTTACATTAACTCTTAATTAAGCTTTCTGGTCTAAAATGTTGTAAATGTTGAGCTTTATCGCAGCAGGAGTCATTTTTCCGGATTATTACTAGCAAGACACGCCTTTAGATGCGTAATTAAAGTCAACTGTGGAACTTTCATTGTGATATATGGCGTATTGTAGGCGAGGAAAAATTTTTCAAGAGTGTGCTTAAAAATACATATTATATCAGCCCTTAAGAGGAAAATTGATTAGCAATTTTATAATCTTAAATGTTTTATTTCTTACAATTTTTGGTTGATTCGCGGTGATTGAAATTTCCAAGAAATTCTGAGTTAAATACCATTAAGATCCTTAAAATAGAAATAAACACTTGTGATTGCCATGATGAAATCTGTAAATCAGCTAATTTATAGGTAGCATCAAGAGAAAATCAAATGAAATTTCTCGATTTTTATTTATCTTCAATACTACACGTTATTTAATGGCAGAAAATATTACACGATTTTCATCACTTCAGAACGTGAAAGAACGTTAAGTGGTAGAAAAAAGTTTGAGGTGGAATTTTACAGACGATGGATCGTTTCCATGACAAAACTGCATCGTGAAAATTAAAAAAGAAAATTTTCATCATATATTTTCATTAGCGGGGGTTTCTTTATCAATTCCGTCGTCAGAATTAGATAATACATATAAATAATGTTTGATAACAAAGTTTGAGCAGATCAATAATATTTGCTACGAGTGTCATCTTCAAGTTAAGAAAAAATATTTTTCTTTGTGAACAGCGAAAACTACTATATTTTTTACGTGTATTTATGTTATTATTTGGTCCGTTGAATCACTTCAGTTATTTAATGAAAGCTTGTCAATTTTGTAGCTACTTTACTGGGAAGAAAATCCACACAAAATTCATCTTTAACTCAATTAAAATTTATGAAATTGGGCCGCCATTAATCTTTTGGGATCCCACTATCTCCCGGAACCGCAGTGACAGAAAATAAATGACAGCTCTTCATTAACTCCAGTTCCTGATCGACAAAAACTTCCATCAATCACGAGGACGAAGCCCGGAGCTGTTGACCGCAATTTATGAAAACAACTCGTGTCACGCTGCTGAAAATAACACGTCGACAATATTTTCCTATTTTTCGGCGTTGACTTACACTCGGATTAAATTTCAAAAGAAGAATGAATATTCAGTACTTCCAAAATATGAAATAACTTGAGTTAGGCAATTAATCTGTTCATATTTTAGTAGAACAATGCAAATTCAACGCATGCCTGGTATTTGAAAAACAACTCCAATTTTTCTCTCATTAGGTGAAAAAATTATATAGTTTTATATTATATAGTTTCGGAAATTTCTCATTCTCAGGAATTTCGCAATTTCCATAACTATGTGTAAATTAATAAATGAATAAACAGTAAGTTCATTTATCTAAGGAACAAAAATTACTCAACAGTATTCATTTAATAGCAATTTAGAACACTGACAGGCAAAAGGGCAGTATGATTTCAGTTCCTTCACGATAAATTTTAAATAAAGTGACAACAACTGCTTACATCAACGAAATTTCATGTTAACAAATATTATTTGCATGATATTATATTTGAAATCTGTCACAATTCTTTTCACATCCGAACAATCTTAAAGCTTTCAATTAAGAAGCAACACAATTTTTCGACATCTGCGCTCCAGCATCACGTGCCTCAGAAATAATTATTCTATGCAAAGACAAGCAGAATTTTTTAAAGTAAACGATGCCCCCGCAACTCCCGAGGATGAAAAGTAGCTCGCAATTCAATTCCCCCCAATCCCAGACATACCTCTTGAATTTGCTATAATTGCCTAAGCTTACGACTGCAGTAGCATATTTTGTTTGCGCGATCCCCTCTGCATAAGGGGATAAAATTATGCAGGGATCAGTTGGTTAAAAAATTTAAAATGTCACATTGGAAAAGCTTTTCCTAGAAGATGAAATAAAGAGCTTTAAGAGAGGCGCGGTCTGAATGAAAGTCCGATCATCGAATTACCTCAAGCATTTGATTCAATTGAATCGCGTGCGGTGCCTGTATGTAATACGCAATATGTAGTCGTTCAACTTGGAAAATAACGTCAAAACATTGCTCCGAACTACGAAAATTCCCAAAATGTTTATCAAATTTAGGCTCAATTTGATGGATTTAAAATAAAAGAGATAAACAGTTTCAATTGACAATTATATTAATTTTTATAACATTCGTCATGCTAGCAATCAATACGTTCTAAGAAGCTAAATCTTTGATGAGTAACTCCCCTATTGCCTTGCTAGAAGAGCACCAATACCAATCAAATGTCGTAAATTAAGGTGATACTCTAAGCTATATTGTTTTCGAAAAATTTAAAACAAAGGCTTAATATCTTTAATAACCTCAAAATGTTATTAATTCATGTTGCGCTGAAATCTCTTTTCAAGGTTTCAGTTCTTTACCCATTTACAGGAAACCATTTCTACCGTGCATAAAAATCACAAACAGCGTCGAAAATAAAGTTTGATATTGTTTTACGAAGAGCTTTTACGATCATTTTAAATCAGTAACCGTTCCGTCGAATAGCAAGTGTGAAATATTCCTGTATTAGTAACAAGACATGTGAGAAAACTTAGTTTTACTTCTGTAGTTCTCAGTTGGGAAAATGTCTACCTAATTGCAGAAGCAAATATACGAGGTAAAACTTTTTGGACATGGAACCTAAACCTTTGCTTAGAAGAAGCTTTCAGGCAAAGAAACTATTCAAAACGAAAACCATTTAATCTGACGCCTTGTATGGGATTTTTAACAAAATTTAACTTCAGTTAAGTGATCAGTCCATTAACGGTGTTTAGATTACGTACATGTTTACATAGTTTGAAATAAAATATGACTCTTGCGACCCGTGTTGACTTTATTACGGACTTTATTACAAATCCAATTTTACTCACTCTTGTGTACCGTGTTGTGGTCTGATACAAATCCTGCTTCACTCACTCTTGTGTACCGTGTTGTGGTCTGATACAAATCCTGCATCACTCACTCTTGTGTACCGTGTTGTGGTCTGATACAAATCCTGCTTCACTCACTCTTGTGTACCGTGTTGTGGTCTGATACAAATCCTGCTTCACTCACTCTTGTGTACCGTGTTGTGCTCTTATACAAATCCTGCATCACTCACTCTTGTGTACCGTGTTGTGGTCTGATACAAATCCTGCTTCACTCACTCTTGTGTACCGTGTTGTGCTCTGATACAAATCCTGCTTCACTCACTCTTGTGTACCGTGTTGTGCTCTGATACAAATCCTATTTCACTCACTCTTGTGTACCGTGTTGTGCTCTGATACAAATCCTATTTCACTCACTCTTGTGTACCGTGTTGTGTGCTGATTCAGCTCGGATATTTTGACACTTCATGATATACGTGCATGGAGATAAAATTGAATCTTCTATGTTCACGCGTGCTTTTGGCCTTAGATCAATTGTTTGGAAATCTAATCAGACTAATTATTACGTTAAGTAGTCATCTGATTCCGTCTTTCTATATGAATTTTCCAGTTTTCATGCTAACGTTGTCAATAGGTTAATGTTTAAATCATTCAAACATAATTTTTATATGAACAACACATTCGTAACCAAACTACAAATTTCAAATTAAACTGGATTTAGAAAATGCAGCTGCCGAGGAATTTGATCGCATGTTTGAATGAAACAAAAAAAAAAGACGCCACAAAAATGTGCGTAGAAAATTTGATTTGAAGTAAATAGACGTAGATTTTTTAATTTAACATTAATGAAATCAAAATTTAGAGACAATTTCATTCTAAGGAAAATAGAGAATTGTTAATCGCGTTTGTGCGAATTTGGCCTATTGGCAATTCGAAAGTCGTGGAATGGAAAACGGAACTCTCAGAACGGAGTTTCAGGCCGCTTACCAGCGCCTGATGTCGTAACTTTATATGCCAGGCTAAACCATCCGTGGCTCTTGAGGAATCTGTCCAAGGTAATTGACTGGAATCAAGCCACCCGAGTATGAAATGTTCAGGCATTGTAGCTGAGGCGAAAAAATTGGCGCGATCTTCCTTATAAAGTGATTGACGGGATCCCTTTCGGCACCTCAAAGTAGATTCGTTTTGAGTGGAGTTGGTCGATAACAACGTGGTTGTTCGAATGCCTTGTGACTCCTACGACTTCAATGATGACGTCACCTGGCATTAATAGT